GCAGACAAACCTGTTAGTCAGGGGAGATGTTTTTGGGCCATGAACAATGTAATATCGCTGTTAAATATGTTATGTGCAGCAGGCTTGAGGCATTTCTTTGTGCCTGAGGCCAAAATCACTTTGTTAGTCACACAAAGATCCCTCCATCTTTTCAACAGTTTAAACAATTATGTCTGATACATTATTAATAATGGCACCAGAGAGGAGTTCCTCTGTGTTTTTCAAGAAATTTTGTCACAATAGGTGTGATTCGATGATGACAGAGGCACATCGACGTGAGCAAATATGAAGAGACAAGTTGATCCTCCTGCATTAGTCACGACACAGCCTCGTCTTGTGAAGGACAAGAGAGGTTTTCAGTTTGAGTGTGCATTAAGTTTAATTTAATTTTCACTTGCAACTGTGCCTTTTAATCATTCTAAGTTGGTATGACCAAAGTATTAAAAAATGCGTGATCGAGATGAACACACATTTATTGTCAGAGGTTTAATCTCAGACTGTAACTTGAGCAAATTTATTAAGAGGGCAAAAATCAGATGTTAAGAAATAACATCAGTGGCACAAATATTGGTTGCACAAAGAATCTACTGAAAATAAATTAACTTGAAGCATTTTAAATGTATTATTTTACATTTTTTAAAAGCTGATCAGAGGGTGGAGGGATGTCCAATTGTGATTATTTTGTTCCCATGAAATTACGCTTAGATTTATCCAAATTTGTTTTCCCAACACACACACTGAGCCAGATTGTTAAAGAGAGGGGTCACCAAATCTCCAAGAAGACCAACAGAAACTATCTACATGTCTATGAAATGTCTTGGAGTGACACCAAGAAAAATCATTCTCTCTTCTTCTATAGTAAAATCTAAATGTGTTGAATTTGCTAGATTCTACTATAGCTTTAACTAGAACTGTGAAAATATATTTCTATTCAGCTTTTTGACAACAAACACTCCAGGTGGTATAAAACAAATGAGAAACATCAAGAAAAGCAGTCCAAACCCACTGGTAAAGATTTGAAGAGAATTTGCGACGCTGTGGGTCTGTTTTGATTCAGAAAGCCATATCAAGCTAAAAGAAAAGCTTATCGCAAACTTTAAAAAAAAAACAATAAACAAAATAATAAATGGAAATCTATTGGCTTCTGTCAGAAAACTATAACACTCCAAAACATTTGGGCTCATCAACATACAAACAGTTCACCAGATACAAAATCAATCACTATTCCTGACCCTCTCAGTCCCCAGGCCTCAGTCATATAGAAAAACTATAAAATGAGCTGAAGACGAAAGAGAACAAGATTATTCTGAATGATCAAAACAGATTGTGCAAAAACTGAGATTATTCATTTCATAGAGGACTAGGCGCTCTGTGCAAAAAAGGAGTTGCACAAAATATTCCCAGAAAAGTTCATCAACACTGATTATTTTATTTTTGAAAAACCTTTTTCTTCACTAGATCTGTATAGGATTATGCGTCTTTAGTAAAAGAATAATATATTGTCAGGATTTTTACACATCTTTACCAGTGGTGCCAACAAAAGCCCAATGCATTTGCTGCCAGGTTGTGAAAGTTCAACGATGGCAAATAAAGATAAAATCAGTTAAAGCTGAAAAGAAAGAGGGAGGCTTGGGGAAAAAAAGTGCTGTTTCGAGAGGAGTAATCTGGTGAAATGCTTGAAATCCCCGTATTGAACCAAACAATTCTGATTTTCACTATTACCAGAAATCCTAGTAAACTATGTCATCATGATTCACCTTAGATTTGGGTGATATAACTCTACATCTCTGCAGTAATAACAAGAATCAAGATTTTTCTGCTTGTGTGTTCTGTTGTCAGAGGTCCCTTTTCCGCAGTTATGGTGTAGCGATATTAATAGATTCCAAGAGAGCTCTGAATCACCTCAATTTTAATTGCAAATGTGAAAGGCAGATTTTCTCTTCTTAATAAATCTCTGTTTTCGCAACCATTTAAAAGAACCCAATTCTGTCTCTATGAGCAAAATTAAAATATATTGTTTTTTACAGTGCTGCGTGGGTCATTGTGCAGTTTGATATAGTCGTACTGTTATTTTCTTTAAGCATGAGAAAAACACTTGCTCTCATTCATCTAGCTGACCAGGAGCGAGCAGCAATATGTTGGGATGGGGCAACGCTGTATTAAGTCCTTGACATGCCTTGGCTTAGACCTTGTCGACAAGCATGCCCTGTGTCAACTCAGATACCGAGATTAATTCCTCTCCAGCCTCACATGGGGCGATAATATGTTAAGTGGTACATCGTCTTCAAAGAGAAGAGGAATAAAAACTAAAGGGAAAGCATGAGTTCATTTGTGTCAAGGATGTTAATCCAATCCATGTGTCATGTACAAATCTTACAAATGGGGAAAACAGATAATTTTTCAAACTTTCTTGTAAAAAATGAGCATTGTTGCTGTTTTACTTCTTCTTCCTTCAACACATGTGTGTTTGGCACCACTCCTTTAAATGGGAGCAGTGTTGTGTCTGTCTGTATAGACACAATAATTTGGTCTGTATCAAATCTCACAGGGAGTAATGGTGGACCCTTTGGTAATGCACAGCAAATAACTTTACCTAGAATCTCATTTAATGCACTATAAACCACAGACATTATATGAAGGAGTGAGGAACTTGTTAAACCTTCAGTATACCTTGATCCTTGTACCCGGCCAACGCTCACTCACTGCTCCTTTACTTTTATAAAGTTAGTCATGAAAACAGTGCTATGACAACCTCTGCAGCTACAGGAATAGGTTATGATTAAACATACTTTCAGAAGGTCAGAGAAAACCGTTTGGGAAATTATTCATCTCATGCTCCTGCTTCTTCAAGGCAACACATCTAGAACAATAAAGAATATTAGAAAACACAAATAATCTGTGCAGTCGCTCTCATGCGTGCACCGGTGGTCCTCTGCATGTACGCAGGATGACACAAGCGTGCACGGCTCGGCCTGTTTCTGGATTTGAGAGCAACAACGCGTGCATGCTGAAAAAGAGAGTGAAGGCAGAGAACAAGGGGGCTCTCTGGCCAAAAACCAGTGTGTGGCTCTCATCCATGTTAATAGTTGAGCCAAGGTGTGCCCAGGTGTGTTCCCCTGAGGTCAGGAAGAAGCCTTGCTGACCTTTGCAGCAGACTAAGAGTCTCATGGAGCTTTCCTTGAGCAGCCCAGAGACTCACATGGGTAAACAACAGACTCTATGCCTCACTTTGAGATGAATGTCTGTGTCTCCGGGAGGAGTATGTTAACGCCTGCCTGTGATCACGCACTGACCACATCACGATGGCCCCGGTCATTCCGGTGTAATCTGGCTACAGCAAATGAACACGTTCAGCAATCTGCGCTCCATGTAATTACTCTCCCACGGAAAGCTCATTTTTTCGTTGTAAATTAAGCGGCCTGTGATTGTTCCACAGCTCAAGTACACCCAAGAACAAAAAATAAATAAATAAAAATCACAAAAAGAGTGAAAAGTGGATATTAAAACAGCAGGGGAACTTGAAACAGCAGGGCTGGAATACAAATACAGAGAGGCAAAGAGAGAGAGAGAGAGAGAGCAGCTACAGCAGCAGCATGCATAATCCCTCACATGATATGGTGGAGCAGCATACAATATAAATGAACACATTTTGCTTGCAAACAACAACAACAAAAAGAGAGTCCTCATGCAAAATCCAGCACTGGTTTTTAAATATATGCAAGCGGATCCAGGAATTCCATATGTGTGTGTGTTATCATCCCCAATTAAGAGCCTCTTTCATCAAGAGAGTGCCGCGCAAGGCGAATAAAAGGCTGGATTATTTCCTAAATGCTCAGGCTTCAGGGACACTTTGCTTATTCAACTTATCACCATGACAACTCTAGTATGACATTTTTCACTTCCTCTTCTTCCCTCTTTGGGATTCAACTCTCAGACAGTTAATTATTCCTTTTTTGCTACCAAGTACAATCGGACCACTTATTTCTGAGCGTGTGTCATGTCTCCAGGAATATCACACTTTCAGGCACACGCACACACACACATGCACACGCATACCCACATGTATGAGGCCTGCAATGATTAATAGACTCTTCTTCAGAGCAATTTGTGCAGCAATTTGAAGAATCTAAAAGATGAGAATAGAACAGGTTAAATGACCAGTTTAGTTGGCCAAACAGACGAGATAAGTTCTGAAATATTACAGGATTTCAGGTCAAATATCACATGTATCCATTATAAGGCTCTAAGTGACTCCTATTATATATATATATATATATATATATATATATATATATATATATATATATATATATATATATATATATATATATATATATATATATATATATATAATTGGGACTTCCATGCGTAAAATAGAAGTCCCAATATTGTGTCAGTCTGGAGATCTCCTTACTAGTTTGGGGAAAGCGAATGCCGGGAACCCATACTGAATCCCAGAAATCTAAGTCATAATTTCATCTGTTTGTTTCAAATTGCTCAAGTCTATTCTAGTTTATTTATTTATTTATTTATTTTTCTCTTCCTGCCAGAGCAGTGACAGAAATCCTGCGCGTCATCGCTCCATCACACGCACAAGATGTCTTTATGCCTAAGTAACAAGTGCCCTGCACATTTATACCACAGAACGTTAAATTTACCGCATCGACGCTGACAGCGAGTTGTGAATCGTCGGAAGCAACAAACGCACATCTGGGCAAAAATATGCATCAGCATCCTAATTCTTGTTTCGAACACAGAAAAAAAAAGTATATAAAAAAAAAAGAAGAAAAAAAAAATCCCGAGCGTATAGACGGTGTGTACAGTCTGCCTGCAGGGCAGGTTATACGTAGCGTTACAATACACAACTCTTCTGTCTCACAGAGAGAGGGGGGGGAAATAGAAAGTCGTATATCTAAATGCGAGTGCCAGTTTCCCCTGCATCCTCTTGAGTCGCTCAGCTCAGCACACAGACAACCCCAAGTATCTTTAAAATGACTCACCTGCTTTGCCGAGGTGAAAATCTCCCCATGTCTTTCTTAGAATTAAAAAGGGGAAAAAAGAAGAAAAGAAGAAGCAGGGATTATGTTTGACCGTCTCGGGATCTTCACTTGCAGTTGCAGTCAGTGTACTCCAAATATCCTTGTGTTCTGCTCAAAGCTTATGTTTTTAGGGAATAACCTTCCTGCGAAGCGATCATTGTCCTCTCTCTCCTCTCACGCCAGTGGATTCCCACGCCATTAGGGCAATGTTCTTATTTTATTTTATTTTTATTTTTGTTGTTGTTGTTCTTTTACTCCAGCGGGAAGCTCCCCTTCAAGTCCTGGTGCGTTTTTGACGCTTTCGCCTTGACTCTTCTCGGGCTCAACGCGAGCACCGCGGGATCGCGCCGCGCATTCCCGAGCGGACGTGTGCGGGAGGGAGGGATGGAGGGATGAAGAGAGGGAGGGAGGGCCAGCCGACTGGAGACGGAGAAAGAGAGAGTTACTAGGTAACCAAGGGCACTCGCATCATACGTGAAAAGGAGCGGGCGATTTATGCCACCCAGCTATCCTCTACCCATCTGCTCCCGTCTCCTTTTTGACGACTCGTCAAATACAACCTTGTTTTATTACGCCGAAGGGTCACTCTTTAGTGTCTCCCGTGAATGACCCAATCCTCAGCGGAAGCAAAGTTTAAAACGAAGATTAAATTCTGATGGGGTATTTACAAAGATGACAGTTATGGTCGGGAAGGAGGCTTGTTTTTTATTGGGCTACAGGAAATTAATGAATGAACAGGGAGAGAGTCCTGCTTGCTGAGCGGGCGACTCAGAATCCTAATAAGTGTAACGATAAATTGTGTCCCTCATCTTACCTCCTTGTAATAAATAATGTTTAAGAGATGGCGACAAAAGTTTCCAAAGCTAAACACAGTGCCTTTCAGAGGTATTAACATCCTTAGGACTTTCTCACATTTTATCACATTGTAACCACAAACCTCAGCGTTTTATTTTGATTATATCACGGTCAAAAGTGTGTCAGTATTCAGGCCGGTTTACACTGTTACCCCTAAAAACATCCAAAGGCAACCAGCTGTCTTGAGAAGTCACCTAATTAGTAGATGGAGTTCCCTGTGTTTACTTCTGTTTCAGTATAAATTCAGCTTCAGAGGTTTGTAAGAAAACAAACACCATCATGAAAAGTAAGGAACTATTCCTGCACAGTGCAGGAATAAAGTTGTCCTGGAAATCTGACCAGAGTTTGACCATAAAACAACCATGCAGCCTTGGGACAACAGCGCTGTTCAGTTCATTAAGTGAAAATGCCATCCTAAGCAGTGAGCCATTTAGCTAAATTCAAAAACACCACTGATTGTGTGCTATAAGTTTGCTGTGTTGTCAAGTTTTTATATTGTACGTGTTTTGGTTTTTATTCAAACCAAAATATGTCTGATATCAACATGACACTGCTTATGTATTCCTTAGTTTATTTTGATAAAATTTTACAATTTATCATGTAAAATTGACTCTTTTGGCATTTAGATAACTATGTAATGTTATTGCCTCATCAGAAACATATACAAACTTCTGCATTGATTCTTTAACCTATGTTTAAGAAATCCTTAAAATTCCTGTGGCAGGTATTTGAGTGTGATTGCCCTTCCTATTCCTGTGTCCAGCTGATCTTTCAACTCACAGAAAGGTGAATGGTCTCCCCCACTCAGCTCCTCCAGACTAGCAGCAGCTAGTCTGGAGTAACAAGTGTTTGTTCTTTGGTATCTGGTGGAACTGCACATCCGCTGAGCTTATACAATCTACCTCTCAGTCCAAACCCATGAGAACAGTTGGAAATGGCATTATGAACAAACGCTGTTGTCCTGATGTGACAGAAGAGACAGAAAGCGCAGGAGTTTTTTGACAAGACAGAGGCCAATTGAAGTCAAATTTATTTAATGTAATGTTTGATATTTACTTATTTTGAAATATTTTTTTTATAAAAATCCAAAGGCAACAGTTACTTGATTGTGCTATAAAATTGCATAATGTCCCTGGAAAATACTGCCTCTTTAATTTATTGTAATTATTTATGTGCTTTAATCTATCTGATGCACAAAAATGCACACAGGCATGTGTTTTAGACTGTTTTATTAAAATGCTGAAATAACACACCATTTTTTTCACATACTTAGTCTATTAAACTTCAGTCTATTTATCAAGATGCTATTTTACACAAAATGCTAATCTTAAGTGCAGTTCTGAACAGCTTGCAAACAGAGCACCTTTTAAGCTAATAAAACCATTAAAATATACTTATCACCAAGCATGTTGTAAATGGAGTCAAACAGAGAAAGGTTCAGTATTTATAGCAGCTTTTTCAAATATTTTATTCTCGGTTCCACTCACTTAAAGCCAATTTAGTGTTCTGGAACAAAATGCCCCATACATACAATAGGTTATGACATGCCTGTGTGGAGAGATCCTGTAATTATAGAACAGCGAGGGGTGGACGCCACTTTTTTGCTTTTGACATTCAAATCAAACAGCAATCATACATATAAAAGAGGCAGAAAACCCGATGCCGGCCATGGCGCTATGCCATGCTGTTGTTAGACAAGACGCTGGGATAAAAACACATGAATAACACAAAATGTAGCATTGAAAGGGGTGTCTGTGGTGGTCTTACTCTTAGTGAGCTGCACCACTGCAACATGAAGTGTATACTAAGCTTTACAAGTCCAGTCATCACAAGGGCAAGGATTTTTTTCCCCACTCTCTATCAACCCAGTGAGAAACAGAAGAATGCTTACCCAGAGGCAACTGGAGGAGGTACTTCAAAACTGGGAGTAATCTTATGTAGAAGGAGTCGGTAAGAGGATCACAATCACAAAAAAAATGGCACAAATTTCCTCTTAAATCATTTTGTGTATGTCCTCTCAGCAATGTTAATGTAAATTTGAAAGTTATTAGAATTGGTTCTAGACTGGGAAGGTAACTAAAGGCAACAGACTGAAAAGAATAAAGGGGGGAAGGTAGATGGCAGGGAAAGAACAAAATATTGGACAGCTAAGCTCAAACCTGTCAAGTATGGTACAGTCAAGACAGGGATACAAAAAGGAAAAGACAAATAAATACGACAGGTCAGCAGGATGAAAGAGTCAGCAGAATAGTGAAAAGGACAAGTGCCATCCTGATGAACAGGGCTGTATATCAATAAAAAGTCATTTAAACTGGAAGAAAGAAGTCCTCAGTGTTAACAGTGGAGTTTTCTTGCTTACGCAGCTATGATTGAGTCTTCTGAAAGTAGCCGCTCCCCTGATACCGGAAAGAAAAACAAACATTATCAAAGTTGAAATCTTAAATCCAGTCGAATTAGCATTTCAGTGACACCAAATATAAATTTGTATAAGGAGATATTCTCTTTTTTTGATATCGTTAATACAGATTAACAGAGTAATTTGATCTCAACAGAAATTACTGTAATGAACATTTGTGAAATTTAGAAAATTTAACTTAACTGTGTTACAGTGCTTTGGTGAAAATTGTTACTGTTGTGCTAAGACTCAGTGTACGAATTGCTTTATTGTCTTGCCCAGGATTATTTCCCCACAAGGATGTGGGGAAATAAAAAAGAGCTGGCTCACAGTTGCTCTTTGATATGACTTATTTTACTTTTTTATTTTCAATACTGTTACAGAGCTGAATTTGTTGGGCTACATTTCATAGACACTTGTGAAATGTTCATGTGTCTAACACTTGACACAGTTGAAGAAAATGACTTGTTAGCTATTCTCATGTTCACCAAGACAAACCCATTAAACACAATTTAACAGCTTACATTTTCTAAGACGACAAAGCTGTGAACATAGATTTCAGAAAAAAAAAAACAATTACTACTGGATCCATTTTATTTATTTCCTGATCAGTGTGTGAGAAAGATTGTGGCTAGCATTTAAATTGTACTGCTGGTCTTAAAATAGCCTTATATCTCAACAATAATGTGGATAATTTGAGCAGCAAAGCAGAGAAGAACACTAATTTGGTAGGCAGATTGAAGCTCGCCCACAGCCTAATTGCACCACCCTACATAAAAACATGATTAGTCTAATTGCCACACTTTTAACCAACTTGAGCATCTTCTTATGTGGCTAAAATATTCTTGCTGGTTTTCAGTCTCCACAGTTTTATTTCCTAATTCTTGTGTTTCTCTGTATCTCATTAAATGATGAGGGCATAACAAATCCGTCAGCTTACTTAACTCGTTTTGTCATGATAAACTTGCAGTGTGCTCTGCTGTGACTGTGCATGAGATCATTGTCAGCAATGAATCAATCTCAAACAAGGAAACAGTGAAAAAGTGAAGTAGGGCTCTGTGGTCAGCTCTGTCGTTTGTCAGGAGCTCGTTTTATTGTGGGAGTGGATCTGTTCATCTGACATTAATTACATTGTTGTTGATGAATTATCACAGAAAGCAATGGGATTCTAAGGCTTCGCTTGACAACATCGAGAACTCTTTGTTTCACTTTAACATGTGAGCAGATTATTTGCCCCATGTGAGATTTTTGGTTGAATGGCACATTTGCAGCCAGCAGGCATTCGCTTCTTCAAATCCCAGGTTAAGGATCTTGTTAGGTTAATTTTGTAATATTAAAATAAATATTTAGGTAGATGACAAAAAAGCATTGTGTTGATTTATATTTCTGTTTACATCTTTCAATATAAAGTTGTAGATATCTGATGATTTGAGGTCACGTTTGTGTTATTTTTTATATTATTGTTATTATTTGTAGGCCTGTAGGCACTATATGCAAACCTACCAATAAGGGTTATCATTGTACACACTGCCTGTGCCTGGATCTTATTATGCCTGTGACTGTAATGAAAAAAAATATCTTAAACCATTTATCTTCATTGTCACTTTTCTGTGCGTGTCCACAGCAAGGCCCTCTCTCCACCTTTCTGACATTTATATGAACTGTTAATAATGACACATTGGCCTGAGTGGTAAATGACTCAATTTTCACACACCAGGATATTGCGAAACAATTCTTTGTTTTTAAAGTGGATTTGCACATCTGATGAATTTCACTTTTCCCCTGGAAGCTCCAATTTAAGAAATCTAATAAAGCTATTACAATCAATGTCCATTAAAAAATAATTGTCACAAGTGGCCAAAACTGAGTAAGGTAAAAATCCTTGCTTCAAGAAGTTAATGGATTGGGTAAAAGGATTATGTTTCAGTGCAGTCAGGTGCATTTAAATGCTGATTTTTCTTTTTAAACATAGCACGATATTGAATTTGGTAGTTGTGAGATGTAGAGAGGATAGAGTGTAGATGGAAGTATTAAAAGGAGATACATTTGCACTATTATATACA